TGTAGCTCCCATTACACTGCCCACGTTTCTGCATGGGACAGCCTCGGAACCCCTAGAAGTGAGCACTTCTGGTGGCAAGTGGAAAAGTCTGCCTGTGAGTGTCTGACTCACCCAGCTGCTGAAAGCCAAGGACTTGGGGCTTTGTTGTCTTAACTAAGTGGTGAGATGACCAAACAAACACTAGTTAGAACCCTTGGCGGTGAAAATGATTATCCTCCAATGTTCTGTTACAGTTTGGGTTATTTTCCATGCCATGGTGTATCTCAGAGTGCAGTGTCCACCAATGTTCTGTTATAGTTTGGATCATTTTCCCTGCCATGGTGTATCTTAGAATGCAGAGCTTTTAATACTAGAAGCTGTGAGGGCTCTGCAAGCACCAGGCAGCCATCCAAGCTCTCCCTGGGTTCATGCTTAGCAATGGATTTACATCCTCTCAAGTTAGATGCTCAGTACTGCATACTAAATAGATTCTGATTGGTAAATGGATTTGGTCCAGTCCTCAGAGTACTTTCACATTGCATAGCTTGTCATTTCACCACTGACTAACTTAACACGAACATCTGCCAAGTCATTTCCTGAGGACTTAATGAATTCTTACTGTGCTTGGCCCTGAGTTAAACATCAGCTCCATGTTTATGAGCCACTGGTTTCTTCATTAGATGTTGAGAATTCCTACCCAGGCCAACGGAACTTGATAGTTCTTTCCAGGATTGTCCTTTCATACTAAGCAATTAACTGCAAATGGCAAGACTTAAGGTGGCCATGGTTAAAGATCATTGGAGAGTTCAGTACAATAGTAATGCATTGGGCAAGAAAAGTTGCTTGTGTCTGTTGCATACAAATTTTATGAGATGGGTCTTGCTATGCTATCCATGCTGACCAGAACTCCTGGGCTCAGGTGATTTTCCTGCCCCAGCCTCTTGATTAGCTCGGACTCTGAGGAGGGTCGCTAGGCCTGCCTCTTGCATATAACAAATTTTATTTATGGGGCTGGAGAGATGGCTCAGCATTTGTGAGCACCTGTTGCTCTTGCAAAGGACTGGATTGGCTTCCCAGCACCTTGTCAGCTGACTGATAACCACCTGTAAGTGCAATTCCAGAGTACCCCCCTCTCTCCTCTGGCACCATGTGGCATACATGTAGCGCACAGCACATACACTTACTCAGGTGCCCACACAGACACATAAAATAAATAATTTTGAAACTTCTTATTTGAGAAGAGGAAGAATCAGAAATTGGGCAACTACTGGAGCCAATGGAAGTAGACAGCCTTACCAAGCAGTGTGGGAAAGGAAGATTTATAGACAGAAAAAGGAAGTGATAAACCAAGCAGCTGTGATTAGTTTAGCCTACACTTTTTCCTGTTTGGACACATCTACACATTGTGCAGCCCATGAGGTTGGCCATTTGTTATGAGTGATGCATTCAGAAGGTTACAGCATGCTGACGGGTTGTGCTAGAGTTGGTTACGTATTGAGGTAGCTATAGAGCAAGTTACTTTGATTGCTATTCCTTAACATTTTTAAAGTCACGCTGTGCCTGTGTGCATGTGACATTTTGTAAGGGAGGCTGACACGCTGCAGTTCTGATGGCTGAGGTTGTGCTTGACGAAAAGCATAGATCTGAGCAAGCTCAGATGGCTTCTCTCCTATGTGTTGCATATGCAGAACCCCATGTGCACCAGAAATAGTTGTTTTGATAATATAAAAAATTAGAGCAATCTATAATTAATATTTTGATATGTAAATTCTCACATTGGGGCCTCTAATATATTTGCAAGTACTATACTTAAAACTTATTTCAAAAAATAAGATTAATGATACATCCTATAAAATGTTATAACTGGTGAGATGGCTCAGCTCTTTAAGACATATGCCTGATGGCCTGAGTTTGATACCCAGAAGCCACACGGTGGAAAGAGAGAACAGACTTATACAGGTTGTCCCCTGATCTAGACATGCACACCATGGCACACACAGTAAAGAAATGGAAAAAATTAAAATAAGTAACCGTCACTTTGTAGTGCTGGACATTAAACTTGGACTTGAGCCTGCTAGGCAAGCAGTCTTGCCCAGAGTTACATCCCAGCTCTGTATTAGCTTTTAATACAGAGTATCCATTAAGGTATCCTCAAATGGGAAATGTCAAAAAAGACACAGAATTAAAAGACCTTTGAAAAACTGAGAGGTTTGAAACAGAGAAAAGAGAAGTCCATGGCTGTGGTAACTTTAGTATATTGAATATTCCTTCCTTGCTGTGGGCCTTAAAGTCGATCTCTGCCTTGGTACCGCTCCTGGCTATTTTTTTTTAACAGTGGATATAACTAGATAAATTTTCTTAGTTTATAAGTAAAAGCTGTTGTCTTTGTAAATTGCAGGGAGTGAGCGCTGCTGTGCTAGGACCCACGTTCCCCGACCTGGCAAGAAATGTGAACCGGAACGTCAGCAGTCTTTCCGAAATATTCGTGGGCCGTGCCCTCGGCTACTTGTGTGGCTCTGTGGTTGGCGGGGTGCTTTTCGACTGTATGAATCATTTTTTACTTTTGGGTAAGCTAAAAGGGATTTTTGCTCCTTTGTTTCTGTCAGTAACTGTGCAATTTGTCTCTAAATATGACGGCAGTCGCCTAGAGATGTTGACAATTGAAGTACACTGTCTTGCTGTCCCCCACTACTGGGTTGCCAGAATCTACTGTCCCTGATAGTGACAGGGAGTCCTCTGGAAACTTGACTGACCTTGCGGTGGGAGTGTTGGCATTCCCAAGTCTTGCCAGCCTCCACCGAAACCCAGGCTCCGTTCCAGACACACACAGCATTGCCCCTGGGGTTGGCACAACTGGGTTCCTAGAGCCGCAGAGGGAAGAAACTGCTCTTGGAACCTGGATTGGACACGAAGGGGCAGGGAAGGTTGATGAACTAACCTAGGCTGTATTTTTGTCTCTGCTATCCTATGTCAGAGAGGAGCCCAGGCTCCTCCACCACATCTGGGAGCAGGCGGGAAAGCCTTTACCATATGTGCTTTGAATAAATTGACTTCTAAAGAAAATAAGGCAAACCACTTTTGTGTCTGAAGGAACAGTCTATCATTCCTGATTAATAAATGAGAGATCCCTCTTATTTCAAGGTGAACTGAAGAATACATATAACGAGTTATATAGGTATGAGTTTTTGTTGGCAGAGAATCCTGTTTCACAGGTCTATCACTGATCTAAATCCTAGTCCAAAACTATGCCTTTTATTTCCTCCCAATTCCTCAAACTAACTTATTTAAAGTTCACTACTAACTCCTTGTCCTTTTTTGTTATTCCATATGTAAACATTTCTTTTGGGTCTTGGATTTTTGTTTTGTTTTGCATGCATGAGTGCATGCCTGTGTGTGTGTGTGTGTGTGTATGTGTGTGCGCGTGCGCGCGTGCTCATTCGTGTTCACATGGGTGTGGGCTCATGTATGTTCAGATATGTGTGACTGGGTATGGAGGTCAGAGGTGTCTTCCTTTTGACTCTCTACTTTATTGATGGAAACAGGCTCTCTCACTGAACCCAGAGCTCTCTCACTGACTTGACTAGTCTAGCTAGTCATCTTGCTCTGGGGAGCCTCCAAAACTCTGGGATTAAAAACAGTCATCATGACCCCAAACCCCCCTTCTGCCCAAACAGGGTTTCTCTGTGTAGCCCTGGCTGTCCTGGCACTCACTCTGTAGACCAGACTGGTCTTGAACTCAGAGATCCACTTGCCTCTGCTTCCTGAGTGCTGGGATTAAAAGTGCTCAGCTTCCACCCAGCTTTTGTGTGGATGCTGGGGATCAGAGCTCTGGACCCCACACATGCATGGTGCATGTTCGTTCCCTGAACAAGCTCTCTAACTGCTCCTCCATTTGGGTTATTTTTTACTCATTAAAATACATCTAAAATTATTGTGCACCTTCCGGCTCACTCCTGGGGAGTCAGAGGACAACTTTCAGGACTGTTTCCTTCTGCATGTGGGTTCCTGGGCTCTAACGAAGGCTGTCCACCTTGGCAAAACACAGTCACCTCTTGAGTTGGTTCTTAAGTGTACAACATTTAAGTAAACAGCTTTTGCCTCTTTTGCTATGAAATTTGGCTTCATTGCATGATTTGTAGTTTCATTCTAGCGATGACAGAATTAGATGCATTTTATAACCTTTTATATCTTATAATCCATAAAGATTATGCAAGATTTAAAGGGTATGACTGCTTGTAGAAGGTACGCTGCTCACTCCCACAAGGTTATCCTCTTTTCATTTGATCCCATTTGCACTTGGGGGTGCTATGTTGACTTAGTGCTGATGCAAGGATGCTGTTTTTTCACAGCTGCCTTTCTTTCAACATTGTCTTCTCAGGGCTGTCAAACCTGCTCACCTCAGCCGGTCTTTACCTGACTCCGTTCTGTAAGACAGCAGTCTTACTTACTGCAATGATGTCTGTCACTGGCATCTCATTTGGTGTTCTAGATACAGGTCAGTGAATCACTGGTGGCGTATCTGGGGATGGGGCACTCCTGCTAGGAAAAGTGGAGTAGGAGGTTTTAAATTGTCCCTTGTGATGGACTTGAAATGACAAGGAGCTACTGATCTGGAGTCATACAACTCAGAACCAGCCTGCTAGCAGCCACTCCTCTTGTAAAGTTAGGGCATCAATTTTCAAAGCATCTGACTCTGAATAACCTTAGAGATTTTTTCCTAAGGGAGGTTGTGGGTTGTTGCTATCAAGAGGGGGGCCAAGAGTCTGTGTTTTGTACTACTTTCTTTGCATTTGTTTTTTGCTCTTTGCTTTCTCAAAACTTATGTTTACAGTAAAGCCTCTGCAATGTCACCATGTCTTTGAAAACTTACAGCAGTAGGCAGATCCAAGACATCACTGGCCATCTAGCCTAGTCAAAATGGCAAGCTTCCAGATCAGTGAGAGACATTGTCTCATGAACATAAGGCAGGTCATGATAGAGGACACTGGGCATCTTCCTGTGGCCTCTGGATGTGCACACAGTGTGTGCATGCCCACACACTTGTATTCAACACACACACGAAAACTTACTAAATGACATATGTGATTTCAGCCTTCCAAATTTCAGCCTTCTGTCCCTCATTTCTCTGTCTAATGTTATCTTATAGATGTGGAAATGTTTTATTCTTTAGGCTTTGTTTGGTTGTAAACTCAGAATGGAATGAAACACTTCAACCATTTTTTTAAAAAAGAGCCATGGACTTGACACTTTGGACTTCTCATCTTGTAGGTACTCTGATAGCATTAAGGGCAGATTCTGAAATATGTATTATTTCCTGTAATAGGTACACCAGGACCTTTGGAGTATTCAGGTTTCTGAATGGGTATTTTGTATGTTTTAAAAATAAATAAATAATACATTTTCTATTTCAAGAACAAAAAGGGTTGATAATGTGTCTGAAGTGTATGTATACACATATGCATATTGTATTATATAGCACATAATAAATATGTGCATCAAATAAAATTCCCCAGTGCAGAGCCAGCATGTTTTATAAAAAACTTTGCTAATGTGCATGCCTCTAAGAGGCCACAGCTGATCATATGGTTGACTTCCATGTGTAGGCATGAAATGATGTGTGCGGCAAGTACATCACAGTACTGAATCAGGTGCCATCTTCAACAATTTGCAACATTTATCATGCCTGTGCCATGTAATACAGATGTGTACTTTTGGAGTTTGTTAATTAACACGCACATTAGCTAAGTTACCATGTTTAACTTAAATCATTTCTTTCATTCATAGGTGGGAATGTCCTCATTTTGAATCTTTGGGGGGACAAAGGAGCCCCACACATGCAGGCCTTGCACTTCAGTTTCGCCTTGGGTGCCTTCCTGGCTCCCCTGCTGGCTAAATTGGCCTGGGGAACATCAGCATCTACTCAGAACCACACAGATCCTGGTTTCGACCGTTCAGCCTTGAACCGATCCTCTGAAGCCACCTCAGACTCTCTGTTTGCAGTACCTGAGGACATGAACCTGCTGTGGGCATATGCTTCCACTGGCACCTATGTTTTAGTAGTTTCTGTCTTTCTGTTTGCTCCATTCTTTAATCAAAGCTCAAGGCAGAAAAAATCCACAGCATCTGGTCAGGAAGCTCGAAGAGCTAAATATCACTGGGCCCTGCTCTGTCTCCTCTTCATCTTCTTCTTCTTTTATGTTGGAGCTGAGGTGACCTATGGCTCTTTCATATTCTCCTTCGCCACCACCCATGTTGGCATGGAAGAAAGTGAAGCAGCTGGCTTGAACTCCATCTTCTGGGGGACCTTTGCTGCCTGCAGGGGCCTGGCCATCTTCTTTGCAACATTCTTAAAGCCTGGAACCATGATTGTATTGTAAGCTCGAAGAGCTAAATATCACTGGGCCCTGCTCTGTCTCCTCTTCATCTTCTTCTTCTTTTATGTGGGAGCTGAGGTGACCTATGGCTCTTTCATATTCTCCTTCGCCACCACCCATGTTGGCATGGAAGAAAGTGAAGCAGCTGGCTTGAACTCCATCTTCTGGGGGACCTTTGCTGCCTGCAGGGGCCTGGCCATCTTCTTTGCAACATTCTTAAAGCCTGGAACCATGATTGTATTGTGCAACATTGGCAGCCTTGTCTCATCTTTCTTTCTGGTGCTTTTTGACAAGAGCCCTCTTTGTCTCTGGATCGCAACTTCTGTGTATGGAGCCTCGATGGCAGCCACATTTCCCAGTGGCATTGCCTGGATTGAGCAGTACACCAGCATAACTGGGAAATCTGCAGCATTTATTCTGGTTGGTGCTGCCCTGGGACTAATGGCTACTCCTGCACTATCTGGAATTCTTCAAGGACACTACCCAGATCTGCCAATAATTCTGTATACTTGTCTGGGATCAGCAGTATTCACAACTGTTTTATTTCCTGTGATGTATAAATTAGCCACCTTACCTCTGGATTACAAGCAGAAAAAAGGTAGTAACAGTGAGGGCCAGAAATTTTTACCTTCTATCTCTGAGCTTCAGGGGAGAAAATAAAGGGATGAAGAACAATGCACTTAAAAGGGAAAAGCAAGAGCAGGAACCTAAAGGCTTTGCTTTCTAGCTCTGAGCTAAACAAGGAAGCTAAATTAAGATGGGAGGGGTGGGGTGTGCAATGGATTTTGAAGTGTTTAAATGCAGCATTTTCTAATAGGAATACAATAGAGATGATTTTATATAACCTATAGCTGAGGTCTCCCATCAGCTCTCCTGAAATGCTCTGTGGCCCAAATCCTCTCCAGGTAACAGTGAGGATTCAGTTAAGAATCACCAGAGCAGAGGGACTGAGAGAGAAATTGGGCTGCTGACTGAGTGGCCTCCTAAGAAGCCTGTCAGAACCAAGCGCTAGATGCTGGCATGTTTTGGGAAACCTAATCCAGGCCCATTTGTACCCAATGGTGAAATGCTGGGAAGCATTTGAGTCTTGGGGTCTCCCATAAACTACCAGGTGATCTAGTTCTGGGCCTCATGTTTGACAGGAAGCTGGTTAAGTAATATTTTATGATTCCCCAACCTTCAGAGTTCATAGAAGGCAGCTGCTGGTGTTTTGTTTTGTTAGAGAGGTAATGTGGCTGTGTAGCCCAGGCTGGCCTCAAATTTGCAATCCTCCTGTCTCAGTTTCCTGACTGCTAAGGTATTTGAGAACTTAGGGAGATCTCAATGGGGAAAAGCCACGAGTGGGCTGTATATGCTGAAGAGATAACCAGTTTTCTCATTCCACGTGAGAAGCTGGGGGTGTGATTCATGAGACAGGGTCCTAGACAATGGGGGGGGTAGTTTTTATGCATTGCTTATTTTATCTGTAGGTTGGGGCAAAGGATGCTAATGATTCATTTGATTGACTTTTCCTTGAAGAGAACATGTAGCTCAGGAGACCTGCCTCCCAGGTCCCCTGAGACCCTTAACGTTGCCCTCATTGAAGTCATCTCCACAATCCATGATTCTAGGGGGAAAAAATCAGGATTTCCAAATTAAAATCCATGACTTCTACAGTTTCTATAAGCCATCTCTGAAAACTTAATGGAATTGCCAGCCCATTCTTGATTTCAATGAAGAAGTGAAACACAGGCCCTAAACAGATGGGTGGGCTACTCATCTAATACATTTAATGCTATTCTTTAGTTTTAATTTTCTGAAAAGTGTGATTTTTTTAAAGCCGCATTTCATCAAGTCTAACTGCTTTAAATTATGATACTCCTTATAATAAATGATTGTTCAACAATGTGGCAAGATTAATCAATTCTCTCCATTTACATATATAAAATGATGTTGTCTTATGATTAGATGCAACAAAACATCACAATTGTTTGTATTAAAGATTATGAAGAACCTAGTTCAACATTATATTTTTTATTTCTTTGGCATATATCCACTGTACATAGCTTGGGATTTATAAGAGCTGGAGAGCTGGAGACTAGACAAGGTCCCCTCAAGCTCTTGGCCTACTTCAGGGGTTGGGTCTGTGTTTTAGTATTTGGGGATTTGATTTTCACTATTTTTGAGTAATAGTTACACTGTAAGCACTGTAAACATTTGACAAATTTGCCTTTATTTTTTTCATGTGTGTGGTACATGCATATGTTTGCATGTTCTCGTGTGTGCAGGTATCTGAGAAGGCTTGGAGGCTGACATCCAGAGTTGCTCTTCATCTTTTTCACCAAGGCAGGGTGTTTAAATTGACCCTAAACTCTATGAGACTCCTACCTGGCTAGCCACCATGCCCTAGGAATCCTTGCCTCTGCTCTCTGAGAGCACTGGCATTCTAAGTGGACCATTGTATCTGTCTGGTGTTTATGTGGGTTGGATGCAAACGTTGGTCTCAACACTTGAGTAATACACTTAAAAATCATTTTATTTATTTATTTATTATGTATACAACATTCTGCTTTCATGTATATCTGCACACCAGAAGAGGGCACCAGATCTCATAACAGATGGTTGTGAGCTACCATGTGGTTGCTGGGAATTGAACTCAGGACCTCTGGAAGAGCAGTCAGTGCTCTTAACCTCTGAGCCATCTCTCCAGCCCTGAGTAATACACTTTTTAACCACTGTGCCATCACCATAGCCACAGTGTCAATCTGCAGTTGTTGTCACCTGAGGCTCCTCCTCCCTGAGTTTCAGTACCTAGGAAACCAAAGAAAAGGTGTAAAGGTGGCTAATGGCCCAAGAGTTAAGAATGAGAAAGTCTATTTTACATGTGTGTGGCAAAACTGGTGTGGGCCATCCTTGGATAAACGGCTGGGATTAATGAGTGGTTGGGTCTGGGTATTGTTATTTCTAAACTTGATTTTCAGTAGTTTGGAATAGCAATTGCATCATAAGCACAATAACACTGACAAATGTTCCCAAGGTTTATGTTGAGCAACATTGTCTTTCTACACTGCAATGTGATTGTTTACTTTCATCTCATCTCTGTAAATCCCAACTTTTGATGAAAAGTGATTTTGTTTGTGGTTGAAGGAACCAGCTTCCCTTTTGGCAGCCATAAAGCCGAACATGTGCTTCTATGACCTTGACCTAGTCACTAGAAAGTCAGATGCCTGCCTTGTGACAAGGAACCAATCAGAAGTTAGCTGGTGGCGCTATGCTTTACGACCCTGGGTGTGCTTTATGGACTAGCGCACAGCAATGATGTAGAGAGCATAGCAACCACCCTGGGAGGGCCTATGGGCCATAACAACCAGTTGACCAATCAACACAGGGCAAGCCCTCCAAGCCTGGAGGCACACCAATCGTGAGCCTGTGCGTACCCCTAGACACTCCCCTTACGCTGCCCTATAAGATCTTTCGGGAGACCCTAGGAGCCGTCTTTTCTAGCTATCTGCCATGGCGGGTGGGTGAAAGACCCGAGCTAACAGGGGGTTAGCTGGTTAAATTACAATAAAGCCTCGTGCAGTTTGCAGCAAGCTCTCGAATCCGCCTGGTGATTGGGGTGATTGCGAATGTGGCCTGGGTCCCCGGATACTTGAGTGTTCGGGGGGTCTAACATTTGGGGGCTCGTCCGGGATTTGCGACCACCCTTCACCTGAGTGGATTCGATCTTGGAGGTAAGATGATTAGAGCTCGCAACTTATATGTTATATGTTTGCTTGTTATGTCTCTTGCTGTTTTGTTTTGTTGGTTTGGTGCCATGACTTGAATTTGATCTGCGCAGAATTTGTAATTTGTAATTTGTAATTCGGACACGAAAGTCCGAGGGTTGCTTGAATTGAACCATAGGGTAAGCAGACTTGCGAGAATCCTTGGTTCCGCCCTGGACGTAAGTTCAAGGGTTGTTTGTAATTTTGGTTTGGGGCACCATTTCTTTGCCGCGGTTTGTCCTGTCCAATGTCTGTCCATGTTTCATATTTGTGTTGTGTGTTTGTTAAGCATCTCTTTCTGTCCCTGCTGCCCACGCACGTGGCATGCATGGGTCAGGGGTCTTTTCTTGTTGCTCTGAGCACGTGTCACGAGAGCACATCAGTGTGATCCTAGGGGCCACACCCAAAGCTCCAATTCTCGAATTCTTCTTGTGGGTGCTAGTTCTATGCTATTAGGGTTCAAACCTTAGGCTTGGCTTATATCTGGGCTGCCTTGCAGCTGATTCCTATCTTGCAAGAACTACAATATTCCAAGTCATACAAAACAGTTTTTAAGTTACATAAAATAGTTCACTTATGTTCCTAACATATCCATGGGTCTTGGACTGTGTGGAAAGAGCATACTTCAGTGGTATCACATGAAGTTAGTGAAACCACTCATCTCACAGCCAAGAAGCAAGAGTGAGTAGGGAGCTCCAGGCACAGTCATATTCTAGAGGACATTCTTAATGACCTAACTCCCTAGTAGGGTCCTTAAAGGTAGGCCCCAGAGTGCTATTGCTCAGGCTGAGCTTTTAACATCAAGGTCTCTGGGAGACATGAAAATCCAAACTGTGGTAACCATATGAGGTCATAGGCATTGTGAACTTGAAAATATATTCCCATATTATATATTTTAAAAAGGAGTTACTATAGTGCCAGGGAGATGGCTTGGTAAATGTCTGTTAATGTATGGTTATATGGTTGAGGGTCACATTTGACTTACATATTTCTGAGGATATTTGACACAGTGCTCACGTGATTAATATAGGTAAACCTGTGGGGGAGATTCCAAAAAAGATTATAATACTAAAACAGATTTGTTCAAAGGGCTAAGAGGACTGAGACAGATCCAGGTTATAGCTTCCCACACATGGGGCAAATGAGGAGGTTCTCAGCCCAGTCTCCTCACATGCAGGGAAGTCTGCTCTGAGGATGTACTCTCCTAGATCTAAACATCCTTTGGGCTTTTGATTTGTTGAAATATTACTTAGAGAAAGAAGCATTTCAGAAAGAATCAGTTACCTTCAAAGTGAGCAAGAAAAGGCCTTGCTTGTCACATAAAAATAATATCATTGAAGGGAAGAAATACAGGCAGGTTTCAAGCAGCATTTCATGTATTCAGTGGAAACCCATCAAGGACTTTTCATGGTTGCCATGCTCACCACGGTACCAACAAATCTTCAGATGGGACAGTGCAGCAAGGACAAAATTGCTTTGTGAAGTCCCATGTATGGGAACTGTGCAAGGTTTTATTTTTAGATCAGAATCAGTTACACACACTACGTTTTCTTTTGACATGCAGACTTTTTCCCAGGCTGCAATATGAGAAGTGCTTGGTGACAAGAAAAAGGACGAAGTGACGTGTGGCTTCTACCACACCCAGAATCCATAAGTTCCAGGAGAAAGGACTGAGGGGAAGCATGAATGCATGCATGAAAGTGCATGCGTGTGCAGAGGTCTGAAGATGATGTCAAAAAGCATGGGATGATTGTGACAGAAGTCTGACATCAGCTTCAGGCCTCTGCACACATGTGCACTTGCATACTATAGAAAATTAGGATGTGACTACTCCAAGGTACAGCCGAGGAGAAGGTTTTTATTGTAGCTATGAGGGAGAATTCAGCCAGAGGCATCTGGAAGAGTCCAGAATAGAGAGAGAAAGTCGTACATTGAACATGGCCAGCAGGCTGGGCAGGGCCAAGAGAGAGGCAGAGGTGGGGAGAGTGACAGAGGAAGACCAGAGAGAGAGGGGTAAGAGAGGGGGACCAAGAGAACACATGTCTGAAATGACAGGGTTATATAGGAATGAGAAGCTGGGGCAAACAATCCCAGGAGCTGGAGAAGTGTGGGTAGGGGTGAGGTAAGAAGAGCCACGGGTACTGAGTAAGCTGGGAGGCCAGCATGTGCTTTGGTGTGCTAACAGGCACTACAGTCATCCATTTGTCCCAAGTTTCCTCTGGACCTGACACATGTGAAGGTGTCACTTTCTTTAATACACTTTTTG